CTAGTGCTTTGCACCCTGAGTAGTTGCAGCTCAGCTCCTTGTGAGAAGTGGTTGAAATTATCTTTTTACTAATGTGGCACTTTCTCAGTTGCTTTAACAGTTGGAAAATGTGGAAGGGATTTCTAAGAATCAACTGTAAAGACCTGTTTATTCACCTCAGAGCTGGCAGGCTGATTGAACACAGACTGATCTCTATATGCCACTGCACATTTGAGTGGGGCTTCCTCCTGTCATGGTGTGTGCTTGTCTCTTGATTTAGGCTCTTGCTTTATTCTTCTGAGACTGATTCATTCAAGCACTCCCTAGTGAAAACTGGGAATATAAAAGCAGTTGCTGGGCTAAAGGACTGGAGGCTGGTGAGCAGCAGCAGGACCATGCAGGAACAGCATGTGGAGATGGTTTTTCTCTCAGAGACAGGGGGGTGAGTTTGGGGGTGCTGCTTTGGGGTGGTGTCCGTGTCGTGGGTGGGATAAAAGCAAGGAAACACCTTGGATGTTGAGCAGTGTTATGTTCCTCTTCCAGAACACTTTTTGTTTTACCTGCTCTTCTATGTGCTGGTCTCCTTTCAGGAGCAAGGACAGGCAGACTCTGATGCCCCCTGAAGAAACGGTTACAGCCTTTGCTGAGGTAGAAGGGATGAGCGAGGCCTTGGTGGGCACCACTGCAGGGAACAGCGTTGTGGTTTGGTGAGTGTTCCTCTGCCACACACAGTTTAGGGGCTGGGGGCAGCTTCAGCTGCTGCAGGGCTGTACAGGGGTGCTGGCTGCCTGCTGAGCCACCATGAAATGGCCAGTGGTCAGTGTGGCACCACAGTCAGACAGCCAGGGAATTGCTGTAATTCCATTGCTTTTGTGTCATCCTCACTACACCCTTCCTGCCTATTGGTTTCATTTGCTTAATGTGGAACCAAACCCATGTCCGTCCTGCACAGGGGTGTAACTATGATTAGAAATGAGTCAGAATTTGTATTTTCACCAACTGCAGGAATCTGAGAACTGGTCAGCTCCTGAGGAAGATGCACATTGGCTATTCCTACCCAGCTTCCATCTGCCATCGAGCATATTCTGACTCCGTACGTACACTAAAGTCACGGTTCATGCTTGGGCTGCACTGACTGGGATGGGGACATAAAGGATTGAAGTTGCTAGGGAGGGTTGAAGTATCAGCTCTGTTTCAATACACTGCAAATAATTCAAGGGTAAACAGGTTACAGGAGGAATAAATAACCTATGCTGGCCGCCTCAACTCCTGGCTTTCTGCAGGGTGCTAGTAAAGTGGGAGCAATGCACCCTGGTGCATTCCAAAGCTGCAGCATGCTGTGAGTGGCAAGCAGAAGTGCTGTTGCCCAGGCCTGGTGCTTGGCAAGCCTCATCCATGTCACACGTGCGTGCTGCCAGCATTAGAATCCCTCTGTGAATGTTCCTCTGGACATACATGCCCGAGGGAATGGGCTGTGTGAAACCAACATTCATACTAATCATCTTTCCCCACTTGCTTCTACCTGTGCTGTGGTTCCCAATGGGTTTTGTGGTTTATCAAGGATTTGATTGTTTTCAGTGAGCATGTAACCTTTTGGGACAAGAATGTCTTGTCCAATAATGGTGCCTTGGGTCCTCACATTATCCATCCCAGGGTATTTCATGCTGGTTTGTGGCCATTCTGGGAGCTACTGTTTCAGTTGTGCTGCTTTCCATGGAATTTTTGTTATATTTTAAGCTTGTAGGGATTAAAATGTGACCCAGAAAATTTACTTATTTTGTTTTTTGAAGTGTCACCTCATCCTATGGCAGGTTTAGCTTTTTGAAACAGGAAGAGAAATTCATAAATCCCTCGGGTCACTGAGCTGTCACTTTGCTGTGTTGCATCAGCCCTTATCAGCCAGTAGCTGCTTTTGCTTTTATCTAATTTGATAAGGAAAGTAAACCATATCTGTTTTCCTCAGTAAAAAATAATGCATCACTGTTCATGGGGCTGTGATTAGAGAGAGTGTAGCAGTTAATTTTTGGAAAATTATTCTGTTTTCTTCCTCCTGCTGTTGTTTTTAGTGATGTATTTTCCCTCTCTGTGTCAGGGCCTTCTGTTTGTTGTTTTAAGCCACCCTCACGCCAAAGAGAGCGAGTCCTGTGGAAGCCCAGCGTTCCG